GTATCATATCGTTCACAAGTGCAGTATGGCGTACCACAAGGCTCAGTACTAGGCATGTTGTTTTTCACGCTTCACATGCTACCCTTGGGAGATATCATCAGGAAACATGGTGTTAGCTTTCACCGTTATGCTGATGATACTCAGCTCTATATTTTTTCACGGCCTGATAAAACAGACCAATTTGCAAAACTAACAGAATGCATAGCTGATATAAAAAACTGGATGACTAGTAATTTCCTACTGCTAAATTCTGAAAAAAATTGTTGTTAATTATCGGACCAAAATTCTCTGCATGTAATAATCTAGAACACTGTCTAACACTTGATGGCTGTGCTGTCAATTCTGCGTCATCAGAACCTAGGTGTGCTATTTGATAGCAATCTTTCCTTTGAAAGCCATGTTTCTAGCATTTGTAAAACCACATTTTTCCATCTTAAAAATATATATGAATTACAACCTATGCTCTCAATGTCAAATAGAAATGTTAATTCATGCGTTCATGACCTCAAGGTTAGATTATTGCAATGCTTTATTGGGTGGTTGCTCTGGAAGTGCGACCATATTAGCCCAGTTCGGTCAACTCTGCACTGGCTCCCTATTGAAAATCGAATACATTTTAAAATCTTGCTAATTACTTATAAAGCCCTGAATAGTTTAAGCTCTTGCATTATCAGCACACATTTTTCCTGTTTAACACTGTACAGCTGCTTTGACAATCTGTATTGTATAAAGCGCTATATAAATAAAAGTGACTTGACTAAATCATTGCTAATTTTATTTGCAATGCTTTATGGCAAGAGTAGCTCATTCACTCTTTTACAGGATATTAAATCTTCTTGCTTTTTTCAGTTTTTTTGTTTTGTTTTGCTTTGAATCAAATGTTGCAGTGCTATGATTCATTTTGGAGATGGTTGGTGTGGTTCAAGGCTTAAAATTCTTTATGAAACTTCGAGAAAATCAATGGGGAATGGACTTGCTGAAGAGTTGCTGGTAAAGTGGACAGTGCAATGAAATCCCTAATCTATTAATTCCACAATTCTAATTATACTGAATTTCATATTTTCTGTTTTGAGCGTAATTTTAGTGAACTGTTTTTGTCATTTTGTCGTGTGTTTTTGTCATTTTTAAATATGTCTATATATAAATGTTTTTATATTTTAATTTTATTTATAGTTATGCTAACGTATCAAGTTAAACTAAATGAGAAATGTTGCCTTGTCAACTAGCTGAAATAAAGTTTTAATTTTAATTTTCGTTAACTATAATAACCCTGATCTGATATCAAAATGTCTATTAAAATGTTTTATAAAGTGGAAAAAATGCCCATATCCAGGGCTAACCTGAATGTATTTACTGCATAATGACCCAGCCCTTAGCGACTGACATTTGAAAGTAAGCTAACCAAAAGGACATCAGATCCATTACCTTTTTGCTTTTTTTAAATTTATTTATTTATTGCTCATTTGTTTACCAGAAAACATTGATATATGGATTTAGAGACTACATGACATTTAGTGTTTCAAAGAAAGAGCACAAGACAGACTTCTACTTAACACATGGCAGTAAATCCGCTAAATCTCCTGACATTAAATAAGCGAAGTTTGTAAATAAGGACACAAGCTGGCATTGAAATGAGCACTCTGCTTGACAGCTGCATGAAACGAGACGGCAATCAACACAGATTTGAGCACTATACAATGTTTGAGCGATATTGTAATCAAGACTTGAGTCGCCTTGCATACTGTTCTTTTAATTTGGGATAAATTCAATAATCACTGGCTCATGTATAAAGCCACTAAAGCTGTAGAAACAGAAGACATGTCAAAGACGACAATACAAATGTTCCAACTGTTTTTGGTCATACAATGAGTCATTGGAGACAAATACAGGACATTTTCATAATATCTTCTTTTTTATATTCCACAGAATAAAGAAAGCTTTAGGTTTAGAATGACTAAATAAAATAGTCATAATAAAAGTCAAATTTTTTTGGGTGAACTATCCATTTAATAGACTTAAGGCACTTTTAAAAGCAACTTGTCTCAGAGCATGTTTCAAGACATCAAAACATCACATCTGATGATCTGGAAAATATATAAGTGAGCTAGTCAACTGAATATTTGAGTAGAATGTCTATCTCTAGATAGAAATTAAATGATAAAAATTTATTGAACGGATTAAATATGCTGCTTTCAGCTGCTCCATAAAACAGCATTTTAATTCATACAGCAAGATAGTACACACACACACACACAAAGGATTGTGGGATATCAAAGGCAGTGAAGGATATATGATACTGTATATAGTTTACCAAAGAGACAAGCTCAAGTGCATGCATTCAACGGTTTTGGAGATGTTGCCACATCTAATTTTTTTTTTTAAGTGTTATATATTTGTGAAAATTATATTTGTTTATATTTTTTGGAATAAATCAATATTAACACGCCAAATGAGTATCCAATTGTATTCAAAAAATATTTATATTTACACATAATTTTTATATTATGTCATAATATTTATACACAATTTCTACCACATGATTACATCACTTGATATGTCATGGAAATTACAATAATGTGGTTAAAATGTGCATTCAATTTCAGAAAAATAACATTTCCTCATGTTGGACATTGTTTGCAGACAAAACTTGTGTGAGAGAGGAAAAAAAGGGTGTTTTAAGAGTTTATTTTGGGTCCCCACTGACATATGGACAAATCCTATGGAAGTCAACATTCTTCAAAATATCTTCTTTTGTGCTCAACAGAAGAAAGAAACTCATTCAGGTTTGCAACAAACTTTCATTTCTGCCTGAACTTTTCCTTTAAAGGAACACACAGTGCTGAGGGAGCAAGTGTTTCGCATCACACACTCAAAGCACACCTTTCCTTATCAACCACTGCAACAACATAAGCTCTTAAGAAGCTGTTCTTCCATGAACCACCTGCTTTCAATGCTTCCCAGAGCTGAGGGCTACAGAATGAGTCTGTCAAGGTGAAGGAATGAGTTTCCACACGATGATTGGAGCGAATGTGTGTGTGTGTGTGTGTGTGTGGCTAAGGAACTGTTTCTCCCTCTTGTTAGCAGGAACAGCTGAAGTAACTTCAAAGAGGAAGTGCTGAGAGGTAGTTGTAATTGTTATCAGTGGTTCTTTCTGTCTGTGGCTCCGTCCTAAGACGATGATACTCAGATGGGTCTTATCTGCATCACAAAGTCTAATTGAGTTAACTAGATAGAAATCAAGAATTCTCTGCATTCACAACAGCATGCCGCTGGAATGCTGATTACTTTTTTCCATTCCTTTCTTTGATTTGATTTATTTTAAGTTTTTAAAGGCTAGAATATTTCCTCTTTAAGACTCTGCGGATGTTTCCAGAATGTTAAATCCTGGGAGACGTCTGCAAGGGTTACAGCGAGGGCAGCTTTACTCTCCTGTAACAAGGGATGGAAAATAAGCCGCTGTGCAGGGGAAAGGTGCAAAGTTTTAGGCTGCACTGCAAAGCAGAAGAGAGGCACACGTGGAGGAAGCCAGATCGAAAGTGTCATTGCAACAAGTACACGGTGTGAGGCTATATGAACACGGCTAATCTGATCTTTCTGGTCAGCTTCAAGTTACAAGACAATAACTTTGCTGACAGCTGCTGGATGTACAGCAGGACGCTGCAGACTCACTGAGAAGGACCTCATGTTTGAGGTTGAAGTTCAGAGCAAAGATCGCAAAGACCCTCCGAGGGTTTGAATTCTCCATCACTTAATAGTATACTTATAAACTTAACAGAACACTACTGTAAACGTTGACATTGTTTAGTTTTAATTTTTTTCAAAATGTTTTTTAAAATGCTTGTTTTAATTTATCTCTCTGTTAAACCCTGTAAAGCTCTGACTTTTTCCCCATGAAAAATAAGATAAATTATTGGATATTTTTATATATTAATGTGTGATTAAAATTTTTCTAAGCACACCAAAACTGAGCAATACTGCAGTTATCAATCAAACTATAAGTATCTAATTTCCAAATGTACAGTGACATGTGAAGTTGCACTTAAAAGTTTCTAACAATACATAACTACAATTTGTAAGAGTTCTTAATTTGGATTTGTGTTCAACCCTGTTATGCTCAGTTTTCCCCTTAAAAATGTTAGGGAATATTATTATATGTTTATTGTGTGATTTACATTTTACAGAACACACCAAAACTGAGCGATACTGCAGTTACCTATCCAATAAGTACATCATTTCAAAATTTACGTGACACTGTGAACTAAAATAGCACTTCAAGGTTAGTAACAATTAAATAAATAAATAAATCCTTGCTATTTGTGAGAAAATTCTTAATTTGTCTTTCTGTTCAACCGTGTTATGGAACATTATTATATTAATTATGTGACTTACATTTTACAAAGCACACCGAAACTGAGAAATACTGCAGTTATCTATCAAATTATCAATATATAATTTCCAAATTTCCAAAAGTCAAGTACACAAAGGTTTGTAACAATAAATAAACAATTAAAAAAGCAAATCTTGAATTTTGTGGCAGATGCATCGTCTAAATGGCTTTTATTAATATTTTAAACAAAAATGAAATTGAAAGAGAATGAGAAGAAAAAATACTGTATGTAGGTAATTCAGACTTTTATGTTTATTTTCTGTGCCTTATACGTGCTGGTTGGAATGGCTACTATTTTGAAACCTAATAAAGAGGCTGAAAAATTATTCAAAGGTCACACGGATGATTTATTTATTTTTTGGAAGCTTTTCTTTTTAATAAAGTGTACAGAAAAAATGTTGTAACATAAACAGCAAATACTTAAAGTTTAGGATTACAATAAAAGTTTAAAAAAAAAAGTAAATGGCAGCACATACTATAAATATACCTCCGGTCCTTGAGTTTGTGTTGAGATGGATATAAAAAAAACCCCTGCCCTTAAGACACAAAACTAGGGCAGGAAAGAATAGTTGGTACTTTTCAGTCCATTTTATGCATTTCTCTCTCCCGTTGTTCTCGTACTGATCCGACTGTTCCGACGGAGGACTTCTGAAAGCTCTTCTAGTTGGGTTTGGTCAGGAGTTGAGTGGAGAACTCATACAGATCTTTATTGATCTTCTTCAGGGTCTTCACCTCCTCCTCCAGTTCAGACACTCGTACCTTAGTGTTCTCCCCATCACCAAACACACTCTGACAGAGAACACAAACACACTTATCACATAGCTCTTTGACAGACACAGAGTTCCCACACTGGAATCTTCATGACTTTCACATGAACTTTCCAGTTGTTCACGATTACAGGATAAGTACTTTAATAGATTCTTTTTTTTAGTCATTGTTGGGACGGCAACAATGACTAAGAATGAATAGATTTAAACATAGTATTGTACAAATGCCAATAACACTACTGGACAAACTGACATTAACACAGACATTAACGTGAGGTGACCTTTATATTTGTGACTGGGGCAACCACAGCTCATTATTATATAATATTGTATTAATATAATAAATAGTGAAGTATTATTTTATTTTCTGACTGAAGTGACCACAGCCCATTATTTCATATGATATATGCTATGCTATGATATATGTATATATATATATAATGGTGAAGTATTATCAATATATTATTTATGTTTGTTTTAAAGGGGTCATATGATGCTTTTTTAAAGATCATTATTTTGTGTATTTGGTGTAACAGAATATGTTGACATACTTTAATGTTCAAAAAACACATTCTTTTTCAAATACTGTACATTATTGTAGGTCCTCTATGCCCCGCCTCTCTCAAACGCTTAGTTTTCTACAAAGTCCCTCCTTCCGACAAGCGCAGTCTGCTCTGATTGGCCAGCTGACCCAGTGCATTGTGATTGGCCGAACACCGCAAGCACTCGTTGGAAATGTAACGCCCCTTACCATAATCGCGAGGTTCATCTTTCAAAATAAATGTAAAGACAGAGCCCGAAAGGGGAACAGAGTCGCGTGACAGACACAGTGATGAAGCTGGTATGTGTTTGCAGTACACAAGCCACGGTTAAGACAGCTGACTCCACTGTGATGTGCCAGTGTGTCAATAGCAAATACTTAAACTAATAACAAAACAGTAGCCGATTCAGAAGCGCCAGATTGTCATAGCAAAGTCAGAATGACCTCCTCTCCTAGGTTCACGAAACGGTCGTCCATAAAATGCATTGCTGTTCTGTTGTAAGTGATCTTAAAGATTTCTAAATGCATCTACTTTCGGAAGGCCAAATAAAGTGCTTTTGCTTTCGCCTAGAAACACACAGCGTCTCCCTGACATGCTGCTTCAACACTAACTGCGGTTACTGCAACTACACCTTCTTTCTTTGCGTGAACTTTTGGGCAGCATTATGCAAATATTTCCACATAGTGAGGTAGATATGTGGGGGCGTGTTAGAACGAGCCGTTTTAGGGGGGCGTGGCAGAGTCTTAACTTTGATAAAGAATATCTCTTTGGTTTTGAGACTTTAGTCTTTGCAACTTCAGGGATCTTATCCATGAACAATCACCTTGTAACACTCCAAAGAGAAAGAAAAACTTGAAATCGCATCATATGACCCCTTTAAAGAATTTGGTAATTGTTGGTAATCTTTTGGTAATCTTTCTAATTGTTTTCTGATGTTATCGACAAAATATCCCAGAAGTCGATTTCACTTAACTTGTACTGAACCTGGAACATTCCTTTAATCTAAGAGAGCTAAATTACTATCATATATAAGCTAGAAGATGAACTGTATAAATGAGGCGGTGGAAAAAAAAAAACCCTGCACCTGGGTCTAAGAATTCAAGACCCATCATAGATTTTCGCTGAGGTCATCAAATCCCATTTTAGAACATCCCTAATCTAGTGGAGAAATGATTGACATTCCCTTTGTGCTCGATTCCTCCAGGCAGGCAAACGGCGGGTGACAGCAATGCACATTTCCCCCAGATTAATTCAGGAGGGAGGGAGGGTAAAAATAAAATCTCTTGCTCTCCAGTTATATATCTATTTACATACATCTCCTGAATAAACACAGCAGGCTCTGAGCTCGCCGGCATTATCTAACTCCCTTTTGAGTGGGTGAAACTAATCCACTTAATAGTCCTGCCAGAGCCGGACTCACTTTAAAAGCGTCAGGAGATCCATGAGGAAGAGGGAACAACCTCTATGGTGACCTAAACACATTTCGGAGACGGATAACGGCAACAAACTCCAAAACACCCGTCGGTCCCTCCAGATGGACGGGACAGTGGGGACCATCTGGCCTCACTGTACTTTCACATATTAAAGAGGCTAAAATAATGTATTTGGACAGAGTTATGAGGTACGCAGCTTGTGTTTTGCCTGTATTTAATTCTTTGAACAACTGATGTTCAATTGGCCGCAAATATAAAGACCCCCCCCCCCCCCCCTCTTAATTAAGGCATCCCATAAAACCAAGAATACAGCAATTTGGTCTCACAATTTCAGTAGAATGAAGATACTCTACTCTAAAGGCTTGAGCTGAAAGAAAATAAACTCTTAGGATTTATCTGATAATCAGTTCAGCTTCAAGCCCAGTCTGATAGCGTTCTCCTCCGCTGGCTCTCAAATACACTTTCAACATCCCGTGGAGAGAGTCTGAACTCTGGGATACGAGCGGCCCAGCGGAGCTGCTCTATCAGCGGAGACTCTGACAGATGTGTGCAAGTGGCTCATTTCCTGCAGGACGAAGTGAGTGAGATGCTCTATATGAAAGATTGTAGAATTGTATCGATCCCCTCTGTAAATCACAGCATGTTGCAGTCAAATATTTTGTATAATTGACGTATACAACTATAATTGATAATTCGCCTCGGGCTTGCTTAGTTGAGGACACTTCATTTCCAGCGATATTGTTGACTTGATTGCATAGATACTATTTAAACTGAACTGAGCTGGATGATGAGATCACTGAATTCAATGATGAACTGTCTTTAACTGAAAAATTAGTGTTTACTATTGTCACTTTGCATTATTGACACACTATTTTCCTAATCAATGCTGTACAGTTGCTTTGACACAATCTGTATTGTTAAAAGCGCTATATAAATAAAGGTGACTTGACTTGCCATTCCTAACACTGCTGTCTGTTCTCACATTATGAATTCATTCATTCATTCCTCACTGAATGTAAGTCTATGTGATATTTGCTCATTTTATCATTCAAGCCGTAAGCTAGATCACATCAAAAATTAAGTTCAGTCTGAAAAACGCTTTGGTTGCCTTAAAGACCACATATTATTAGGGATGCACCAATTCATCAGCCAATAACCCGTATCGGCCAATAAAAGTAATTATCTGCACTATTGTTTAAAAACAGCCGATGCTCAGGGCTGATTAGGATATATAATGTCAATCAAAAGGGGCGGGAAAAATGTGTCAGACTACAACTGTCGTAGAATGTTTCTTGTGTAGAATTTAGGGCTATCAAAGTTAATGCAATAAAAAGACATTAACGCAATCTCCTTAAATAAAAAGTGCAGTTCTATTGGAAAGGGGTTCAAGCCAGGGTTGCCAGGTCCATGGTTTTTCCCTTCACCAAACATTATTTCTAGTGTACCTCCTGTCCAGTAATTGCAAAGAGCTTTGTGCTTTATTACAAGAGACAAAATCTTGATGCTCTAATTCTGTCAACTTTATCACAAAATTCAAACAAAAAATGCTGTTTTAACGCTCATAAATGTGGTGTGACAGATTGCTGTAGTGCTTTAGGAGCACAAGTCCTTTCCACTTTACTACTAGTTACAGCACCAAAATAAACATGAATCAACATCAGAAGGTAATGTATGTTGAAAGAAACAGAACAACTTACTGAAATGTATCATGTCTCATATAATTACTCAATCAGTGTTTCAACCATGGAAAGACATCAATAAAACAGCATGTGATCAATGTCACTTAACATTGCATTTACCTCAGGAAGTTATTCAGTGTTCACAGTTGTTTAGTTAGCTATAAAAAAAAGCTTATTAACCGTTAATATACTGTATGTACGTTTCAAAGAATCTGACATGAAGGCAAGTTTTTAACACTACCTTATGTGCAACTGAGTTGTTTGCAAACATTTCAGTTTTTATTTGATTTAATTTTCACTTTTATATTAAAGTATATTATAAAATAATATAATATAAAGAAAACATGCAGCCAGTTTGTTATTGGCTGTCTGAGTCTGAAACTGTGTCATCCAGCGAGCTGTATCAAATTGTAGCCGGTTTCTACATAGATAGCTAGCTATTTGAATAAGACCACCTCCGAACCATATATGGAGACCAACGCAGCAATTCACGCATCTCGTGTTGACACGCCCCACAAAAGAGGGGGAGGGGGTGAGCAGTAGCTCATTATCATTTAAAGAGACATGCACCAAAATGGGTCGTTGTGAACAGAAATAAAATGGGTGTTGTTTTACACACGACCATTGAGGAATTTTAACCAAAGTATGTTACAGACATTTCATGAAGACCCTAAAGAATCATCCCAACTTGTGGAAAATGGGCATCTGATGTCCCCTTTAAGAAAACCCAACTATCAGTATTCTGAATAATTGGCTACTGGTATCGAAATTCAGAATTCAGTATGGGTGCATCCCTTATTATACCAAATTAACAAACCGTAAATTGCTGAACATTTCATTTAAACATTTTATCACAATTCATAAAGCCATCTTATTAGCTAACAGTTATTAGCCATCTAAAAATGACAATTATGTGTTGATTACTCATAATCCTGGCTGAGCACTAGTCCACACTACTCGTGAGTCGTGACAAGTGCTCCTTCTCCGCTCTCTTCGCGCTGATCATCAGAAAAATCAAAGCCAGCAGGCTACAAACCATCTCCGCCTTGAAAGCCTTGCTAAAATTCAGCTCACAGTAATGATTGAATCCTGACAGCAGCAGTGAACTTCCCTGCTTACCTTGTCTGTGACAGCACACATCAGAGAGTAGAGCTCGTCTGCCTTCTCCAAATACGTCCCCTCCGGCTCCTGAGAGTGTGAAAAGACAAAGTTGTTTAACACTTTAAACAACAACATAATCGTATGTTAAGCTACAATAATGATCGATTGTGCCAATATAAGGTGTTTGTGTGTAAGCATTTCCCGGGACACAAGTGTCCTGAAGAGGCTATGCCAACTGTGAGAGGGTCGATTACAAACAAGGTCTAATCATGGCTGTCTCCTGCAGGCTGATCACTACTGACAGTGAGTAAGTGGCTGGGAGTTTGTGGAGGGGATGACGTTTTTCCAACGGTCCAACGAGATTATTAAGGCTGACAATGAAAATCTCAGCAAGGTCAATGTCTTTTTAACAGCCCTTCCCAGATCCTACCATCTTACTCTGCTGATTTACAAACCATCAGTGCCCGTCTGCGGGAAATTACTGTTCCTGCCTCGATGGATACAGTAAAGCTGCTGATTTCACAGAAAGATGAGCAAAGCAGGTGCTGCTGCCCAGCACAGTAGTTTGATTGTGTTCACAAAAACACCAACATACACTCACAAATGTGAAATATTGTACTCATGGTATATAATTTTCTTAATGTTGAGGCTTTGCTTACACTACAGTTCAAAAGAATGGGCTTTTTTTTTTTTAAGAAATACTTAAGCAATCAACACCATTGATCAAAAGTGACAAAGACATTTCAAATATCAAATAAAAGCTGTTCCTTTGGATTTTCAATAAAAAAATCTGAAAAAATTAACCATGGTTTCCACAAAAAACACTAAGTGGCACAATGGTTTTAACACTGATAATAAAAAAGAATAATACAAAATAAATGTTTCCTGAGCAGCAAATCAGCATATTCAAATGATTTCTGTAGTATCATGTGACACTGAAGACTTGAGTAATGATGCTGAAAACTCAGCTTTACATCACAGGAATAAGTTACATTTAAAAAAAAAAATTGTTTTTTAATTATATATA